TAAACGTACAATACCATAATAGGACAAAAAATTGCTAATTGATCATATAATTTCCTAGCTTCTCTAATATTACAAGCTTGAATAGTTGTTTGCAGACAACAGCTACCAGCCGCAAAAATTATCGAATCCATATATATACGATCTGGTAAAGCTTCTTCACTCTTTTTGTCACGAAAAGTCGGAACATTGAGAGCGACCTTTGTTCCTCGACGACTTTCAATACCAGCATTCATTGTTCTTTTTCGTTTAACAAATTATATATCATTATATAGAAATATGTGAACAAATAAATTATGAATTACGTACCGAAATTTTTCCTGTGGATTCATGGCTTCATCCGGCACAAATAAACTTTTTAACTCAGACCCCAATGGCTTATTATGCTGAGGCTCTAAGAATTGACTTGAACAACCGAGACGTGGGAAGTTGACTAAAGTAACTAAACTTTCATTTGGGTTTAAATATTTGGATGCAATTTCTCTTCTACGTTTCATATTTTGTTCAACCTGAGTCAAACATTTTAAAGAACTTCCGTAAGGATCACTAGGTATTCCTAATTAACCATTCATAAATGATTCACTAAAATAACTAAAATAACTCAAATAATAATTTAAACCAAATAAAGTCAAATCAGATCAACACCTTCGATCATATACGCTCCAAATTCGGGTTGCCATAATGCATCAACTGCTTCACTATAAAATATAATTTAATTGATAATACTGGATGATTTGATTCACTAAATATTGTTATTAATAAACACACTTTTTTCTCTTTGCTTCATCTACTTCGTTTTGCAATTCTTGTAAAATATCTTGAGCTCTTAATGATAATTTTGCGTTCTTGTTTTCATCATCATACGCAATTACCATATATTCAATCTAAGTAAAAAAAATTTATATCATTATTCTCATTGAGTGTTACTAATTTTCACCCTAGGTGATATCACCCGGTTGTATACAAGCCAATCAGCTCTCCGGATCTTGTGTAACCAAAACAAAGCGAAGAAAAAAGAACAATAAAAAAAATAATAACTCAAAATTTTGTTATGAAATCATGCTTCGATTTCTAAGCAAAAGTTTTTAGCATCAAAATTTTACATATATTTAAGCCCTCTTACTCTAACCCAAGGCTAACCCTAACCCTAACCGTAAATTATTTTCTTTTTAATAAAATTTTATAATATCGAGTGATGCCACCACGGGTGAAAATTAGTTATAACCATTCTCATTATACTAATTAATTAATAAAAATTTAAATGAATCACCTCGTCACCCCACAGTAAACTATCATTTTCCCTATCTTTTGCTTTATTATAAATTGATAAAAATTGTTTGATTCCTTGATTACGAATATGGTCAGCATGTTGTTTTGTTTGATCCCAAGGAAGTAGTTTTTTCTTAGATAATAATCCCATTATCTTCAGGTTCAAACGTTACTTATGCGTACTAAGAAAGTTGAAACGTTAAATTTGGTATAAATATATATATTTGTGATAGTGGTACGTACTAGAAAATGGACACAATGAAAATGAAAATGGAAAATCGATTACATAACATGTACGTATCTACAGAATAATCTCTATTACATTTAAAACTCAAAAATGTAGTGTCAGAGGCGAATCGACCAAAAATACGCCTTCAAGAAAGAGGAACGTCGTGTAACGTTACCCATTAGAGAGGTGAGGCGGATAATGATTTGGCGAAGGCTTAAAGCATCTATTGAGTATCGTTACGTAAGTAATTCGGTACAATTTTAAAGAACGTTGTACTCTGGCTTACACTTCAAGGGTCTTTTATTAAGGATTTAAATGTGTAGAGGGCAAATTACACACACTTGTATTTTGACAAGAGGAACCCGACCTCTAATTTATAAAATTTACAGGCAAGAAAAAGAACAAAGTCGAAAGTTCACATTTTCTTTTGTCATTATACCACCATTGTACTCAAGTCATATGACCCTTTTCTGGTCTAATTCCCTACCCTTTACACACAGCCATTATCATTGAAACATTCTACGGAAGGAAAAAGAAGGCAAGGCTTCTACGCCGTCATCGTTCTTTACCCGTTGACGCATTGACTCAGTCATTGACTCATTCATTGACTTGAGAGCATGGGGTTTTGCATGTGACAGTAGCCTTTAAAACGATTTTTGATTGGTTAGTTACGAATTCCACGATTATTATTGTATTATTGTGTAATGCTAGATTAATATACGATAAAAATTCATCTACGAATAGTATCGGTATGTTACATGAAATGTGAGAGGAAATGTTATAGATCTTGATATGTTTAGTATAGATCATTTAATGTTAATATTACATAATTTTTTCGTCACAATTTTCGTCATTCATCAGGCATTAAAACACACATGCCTGTTTAGACAAAACACTTCCACCCACAATGAATTCATATCAATGGCAACAAAACTCTGACAGCAAATACCAACGACATCAGAAATCTAGCCTTTATTACTATTGTGTAATGTGAAAATTCGGTTTTGTAATATACGGTATGTTACCCAGTACGATACATAAGGAAATGTAAAATTTTGCAGATCTTGATATGTTTAGTATAGATCATTTAATCTTACATAATTTTTTCGTCATAATTTCGATTTAATATTACATAATTTATTCGTCATAATTACGTCATTCATCAAATTCATCAATGACGAACGTTTCGTCATTCATCAGACCTTAAATAAAAACTCTGGCAGCAAATACCAACCAGTTACTGCGGTTTCAATGAAGGCTCCAATCATAACGGCTCTAGCGACGATGACTACGATTGCAATGACTCCAATGACAACATTTCGAAGGCTTAACTCTAATAACAACAGAACTACACTTGTTTTAATAATAATCAAACTTTCAGAAACTACACCGTTATCCTCGAAATATAGACAGAGATAATGTTGTATTTTCTGAAAAGTCAGATTATTATTAGGACAAGATCGAAGAGGCCTCAGGAAAAAAGTAAATTTTAGATACCCAGAATTTATGAAAGTAGCTATAAAAAAAATATATATGAATAATAAAAAGAAGTGAAAAAAAAGAAAGTACCAAAAGCGAAAAAAGCAAAGAAAGGAATAGAAAAAGTAAAAGAAATTGAAGGTGAAAGAAAGTGAAGAATGAAGAGAAAGAAAAGAGAACAAGAATGAAAAAAAAGAGAGAAAGAAGAGAAAGAGAAAAACAAAAATAGCAATAAAGAAAAGTGAACAAAAATATAAAATGAAAGTAAAAAAGAAAAAAAAATGAAAAAGCAAAAGAGCGAAATAAAATGATAAAGAAAAATAAAAAAAATAAAACTGAAAAATTAAATAAGGAATAGAAAGGAGAGAAAATTGTAGGACAAAAAAAAAAAGCGAAGGATTAAAGGGCAAAAATCAAGAATAAGAATGTAAAGAATAACGAAAAAGAATAAGGGAAGAAAAAAAAATAGACGAAAAATTATCATTGAATACTTCTATTGGAATGGCACAGGTACGTTATATTAGTTTCCTATTTCAACCCAACTAAACATGAATCTGGTAAATTTTGGACGTTATAAAATTGGGAATTTACAAATAAGGGTCCGGAAAGTGAAAATAATTACAAATGCGGACCCAAATTAAAAATATATAATTACATATAAGGGCCTAAATTTTTAAAAAAAATATTACATATAAGGGCCCAAAATAACTGCGATGGTTATTCAAGTCTGTGGCTTGATCGTTATTAGCATAAGAAATGTAAGCATCGATAAATGTAGTTATTAAGCGCATAAAAATGTAATTATCGATTGTAAATTAGTAAGAAAAGAATTTTTTTTAATAAAAAATTTCTTTAAATAAAATTACTTTTTTTGTTATAACAAACCACCATGACGTCAAGTAAAGCACCGTGAATTGGCATGACATTTACTAATACAGTAATATGGAAGATGTTCGTTCAGCTCTAAAGAGCTACTCTGTTAAAACTTCGCCTTATAAATAATTGTCGCGGCTGATGCTGGAAACGGCTGAAGCTGGAAATCAGGGACCCCGATTTAAAAATATAAACCCTACCAAAA